GACCTCAGGGCGCGATCCTTGCGCGCTCTTCAAGGTAAGCGCTGCGCTGCTGCAGCCCTGCAGCCGTGAGCGACAGGAGTTTCCCCCTCCCAAGAGGATTAACTGAACCCCGCGCGGTCCGTCTGCACCGCTGGACAGATGTTGGGCAGTGAAAACTTCATCCGCGGATGGGTGTACGGCGCAGGTTGTGCAATGTGCTGGTTTGGGTTTGGCGTGGTTTCTGGGACAGCTCCTTTACTAGCAAGCGTTTCCAGCGGTGGAGAGTGGCTAGCGCTGTCCGAGAAAGCCCCGATCCCCTTTCCCCGGTTCCTCTGCCTGTTGCGCTGCTCGGAGGTGGCTTGTGATCCCCGTGGATCCGGGCGAGCGCCCAGCCCCGCAGGCAGCCGAAGCCCGGCAGAGCGGGGAGAGCCAGGGGGCTGTGTCTCCGTGGCTGGGTCCGTGCGAGCAGTAGCTGCTGGTGAGGAGTTTAACAGGCCGATTATTGTGTTTGGCCCAAGGGTGTCCCACATCCTTGGCACCAGTAGGTACAGGTGGAAACTCGGGGTACTGAGACACCAGCCTTGCTCCTTGAGTCATCAGCCACTCTTTGGAGCTAGAAGGACCTGGAATTTTTCAGTGACTCAGTGGCTGGAAAATTGCAAACTGCAGCAGAGGCAGCGCCGAAGGGCTGTGCTTAGGTTTCTTTTTCTTCCTCATCTCATGTTATGGTGCTCCAGTGTCAGACGGGCTCAGGTTTCAGAGTGCCTCAGCGTCCACAGTGCTGAGCTCTCCAAAACCTGAATCAGGGCTTTTTACTTACATGCTTGGACGGGGACTTGGCTCCGGTGGCGAGCTGAGCACTGTTTGGTGGGCTGAGCCCTTCTGAGGCTTCAGACACGTCGGCAAGCAGCGGGGAGCAAAATGCTTCTCAGCAAATGAAACGCCAGAGGGAGAATTTGGAACAGGACCACGGGGTCAAGACTGCGGGACGTGAGTTGGATCTGGCATCCTGCAGGGCCCTGGCCGTGGGGTAGTTTGTCTTGGAAGATGAAGAAGATGAAGAGCAGGAGAAAGGATAAAAGCCTGTGAGAGTGCCGGGGAGGAAAGTCCAAGTGATGGGGTGGTGGTGGATGTACCTAGTCCAAGGGTCTTGGCACAGGTACCTGATTGCTAGTTTTATTTGGCATTTTGCTTCCACTCCTGCCGGGCGTAAGCTGAGTGTTTTTAGAGGAGGGCTCTACAAGAGTCGCTGGCATGGTGGTATCTGAGATTCAGGCAATGAGGAGCTACAGTTTTTGGGGAATCTCTGCATCGGGTGACACCGGGCAGAGAAACGGGGACCAGAAGTTGTGGGAGGCCCTGCTGGCAGCCCGAAAGGAGGGGACCGGAGCCTGTGCTCCCTCCCGTTCCACACGCTCGAAGTACTGCAGGTAGCAGGAGCGCTCACCCCGTTATAAAGCCTCTCCCAGGAAAGGGTAAATCTCTGCAGAAAGTTGTTTCCTGGCATTTTCTGCAATTTCTTCCTAGGGGAGGGAATAGCAGAGGAAGAAGGTAAAACATCTGGCAGCTTTTTTTTTCTTTTTTAAGTAGGTAAAGATGATGATTCCTCTGCTGCGAGCAGGAGCGGTGGGTGGCACTGATTCAGCCAGCCCGGCTGGCCAGCCCCCTGGCACCTGGAAGCCCTGAGTTTGGTCTCTCCAACCTGGAGACCATTCAGTAATATAATTCCATAATATAACTGTTGGGTAGAGGAATTAATTTTGGGACTTGTATTTTCCAGGGTTTCAGGTGCCAGCTTGTTTAATTCTCTGGTCTCACCGGGGTGAGTCGGGGCGCTCAGTAATCCTGACAAGCCCCGAAACGTGCCTGCGCTGAATGTGGCTCCGGGTAGGGGAAACCGAGACGGCTCGGGCTCATGGTTTAGCCATGAGCTGGCAGCACTGTGAGCAGGGTGCCTAGTTAAAGCGAAAAACCCGCCTATGAAAACTTCATTTTATTAATTAGCATGCTGTGACGAGCAAAGAAAGACCATGCTTTAAAGAGGGAATCGTCAGATGCATTGAATATTCAAGTCATCGGCTGCCAGACTCGACCCACTGCTTTTTTTGTATTAGAGTCACGGTCCAACACTCGATCAGATGTTCAAATGAGTTTGGGGCATCTCTTGACGCTAGCTGACTCTAAGGAGCGTAACTGGGCTGTAGAAAAGTGCCAGTTCCTATCATATAATCAATGTATTTCAGAGGGAACGTTGCCGTTTCAAATCTCTTCTCTGTTTTGGCAGGCCAAGTCAGGTCCCAGCAGCGTTTTTGCATTCAGTGCGTGAGGCGGGTTTTCGGCTGTGGATTTGGGATTTTATCCTGTGGGTGCCCGGTGCTGCTGTATAATGCTGCCTTCCCAAGGGGTCAGCAGCGAGGGGGCTGTTGGCTGCTCAAGGCAGCCGTGTTACTCTGCTGAATCATGACGGTGCTTAAAACCACACGACTTTTTGGAGGGAGGGAAAAAAAAAATCCTGGATTGTTTTTCTTTTTGCCTTCTGATTCTCCAAGACCTGCGAACGCGCGCAGGACGCGCGTCTGCTGCGTTTCCAGGAAGCAAGACCAACCGCGAGCCCCGATCCCACCGCTCCCGGCGCCGAGACTTTCCAAAATCCGCCCCGCCGGAGCCAGCGAGC